AGCCCGTCCTGATCCCAGAGGAAGGCTTACCCTGCCCTCCACCCCTCTGCTTCTTCCTGCACATTATCACCACCTCCAGGAAGCCCTCCTTGATACTTGCTCTCCTAAATCCCCCTTCCCGCCTGCACAGCCCTGGGGACTTCCTCCTGCTTCATCGCAGAGCTCCCATGGAAAGTCACATACCCAAGGAGAGAGCCCTGCCTGTCTGCTCCATCCAGGGGAGGACCCAGGAAAACCCAAAGGGCCAGGCCACTCTGTCACTTGGTGTCTGACAGCCCGGAGGGCACGTACAGCAGCCTCCCCGCCTCCACCCCCGCCCAGGCCGGCTGGACTGAGGACTCCCAGTGTTCTCAGGGGCTGGGAGTTTCCCGTTCTCATCTCCGGCCCCCTCAGCGGGGTCACTTCCGGAGGCCGGTGACAAGGAAGAGAAAGTGAGAGTGAGCACAGAGAAAGAGGCAGCTGTGAGCAAGCCGGAAGCCGGGCCTGCTGTCACTGCCGTTAGGAGCCGTCCAGTCACCTAGTGACCCATGTACAGCACACCCGCCCCATCCTGTCCCCATGGTCCTCACCACCGCGGCTGCGTCTGAGCCCATGGCTGCAGCCACCACTGCAGGAAATCAAAGAATGCAGTCTTCAAGAGGGACTGCATCTCAATATCAAGGAAACAAAGCTTCTCACCAGTGGATAGATAGGTGGCATCATGATAGATGGAGAAGAGAGTGAGATTGTCAACAACTTCATCTTACTTGGATCCACAATTAACACCCACGGGACAAGCAGTCAGGAGATCAGGGGACATACTACACTGGGAAAGTCGGCCGTCAGGGACCTCTCCAAATTATTGAGAACGGATGATGTCAGTGTATGGACTAAGGTACCTTCAAATCCCGTGTATATCCAGTGGGCACTGGATTCCAATTGCTAGGAAGACATGGCATTTGGGTTAGAGCCCACCTGCCTACCCACCAGCCAACAGGGCTCCCTCCCAGAGACCTGGAAGCCCGATTCACTACACAGATTTCTGGGGGGGGTACATTTATAACAATATCATCCCAACACAGTAAAAGAAATCTTGTAATTGTTGTCCGTGACTTGTCACAAATACTCCTGATGACTTTTTTTCCCCAATGCCAATGCCTTTAATACAACATTGGTTTTACTAGTGCAGATATGGCTTCAAGAACAAACACTGCTTTGTGGATGGGCATACATTTATCATCCAGGAGTCCCTGGGGTAGCCTGAAATGATCGGGCCAATTCCACAGCATTTTGAAGGGTGGTAGCCAGCTGAACTCTGCAGATGCTGGCTGCCTTCACAATAAGAGAAAAGGCAGGCTTTTAAAATTCCTCAAGTCCAAACACGAAATAGACATTTGAGCAAGCAGGCCCTAAAAACTTCAAAAAGCAAGGAATGAAGGGCCAGGGTGGCCACCAGGAGATCCTACTGAAGGAGAAAAAGAGAGCTTTTGACAAGCACCTCCCAATCTATTGAATGCTGTGGTTGTTAAATATTGTTGAGTCATCTGTGACTCTATGTACAACAGCCCTAAACTCCTCTCTATCCTGTGCCAATCTTATTGTCTCTGACACACCCACCCCCATTACCCCAGTCGCTGAACCAATCCATCTCATCGAGGGTCTTCCTCTCCTGAGCTGTCCCTCCACCCTCCCAAGCATGATGTCCCCTCCAAGGACTGGTCCCTCCTTACAACATGTCCAAAGTATGTCAGATGAAGCCTCAGAATCCTTGCCTCCAAGGAGCAGCATGGTTTAATTCTCTCAAGGTTAAACCTGTTAATTTTTGTAGCAGTTCATGGTACATTCAATTCTCTTCTTCAGCACCACAGCTCAAAGGTATCAACTCTCCTTCTATCATCCCTAGTAATTGTCCAGCTCTCTGATGCAAAGCAAGTGATTGCAAAGACCATGGCCTACATCAGGTGCACCTTAGTCTTTAGACTGACATCATTGTTCTTCAGTACTTTGGAGATTTCTCTGACAGCACACTTTCCCAACGCAATATGTTTTTTAATTTCCTGGCTGCTGGTACCAAGTGTATTGATTGTGGAGCCAAACAAAATAAAACTGTTTACAATCTCAATCTCTTCACCATCTCTCACAATGCTGCCAGTCGGCCCAATGGTGAGAATCTTTATCTTCTTGATGTTGAGCTTCAATCCATATTGAAAACTGCAGTTCTTGACCCTCTGCAGCAAGCACTTCAGGTCCTTCTCAGTTTTAGCAAGCAGGGTTTTGTCATCTGCATAATGCAGGTGTTGATGTGTCTTCCTCCAATCTTGATGCCACACTTCTCATAGGGACCAGCTTCCTGTATAATCTGTTCTGCACATAGATTGAAAAGATATGAAGATAGGACACATCCCTGGTGTACAGCCTTCCCAATTTTGAACCATGCAGTGTTCCTATGCTCTATTCTGATGACTGCCTCCTTGTCCAAGTATAGATTTTGCATGAACACAATCAAGTGTTCTGGGATTCCCACTATTCTCAGAGTCAGCCAAAGTTTGTTATGATCCACAGTCAAAAGCCTTTGCATAGTCTATGAAACACAGACAGATATTCCTTTGTTACTCTCTGCTTTCAGCCAAGGTCCATCTGACATTAGCTATAATATCCCTAGTGCCACAGCCTCTTCCAAATCCAGCCTGCACTTCTGGCAGTTCTCTGTTGATGTGCTGTTTCAGTCACTTTGGATAATCTGCAGCAGAATCTTGCTTGCATGTGATATCAATGATATTGTTCGATAATTTCCGCATTCTGTCGAGTCACCTTTTTTTGGAATGGGAACAAATATGGATCTCTTCCAGCCAGTTGGCCAGGTGGCCGTCCTCCAGATTTCTTGGCATAATTTGGTGAACACATCTAGGGCAGCATCTGTTTGTTGAAATATGTCAATTGGTATACCATCAATCCGGCAGTCAGTGTTTTTCACCAACACTACAATTCAAAGACGTGAGTTCTTTGGTCTTTCTTATTCTTATTTGGTCTTTCTTATTTCTTATTGTCCAACTTTGACACGCATATGAAAACTCGAGCTCAATTGCTCATCTCTGAGCCTCCAACATGTTTTCTGAGGCTGTAAATGCACAGGAGGAAATTGCCCCTTGGAGCTGCTTGTGGATTTGAACCACCTGCCTTTGGGTTGGCAGCACAATTCTTTCCCCACTAGACCACCAGAGCTCCCCACATGCATATGAAGTAATGAGAAACCCTTCTTAATCACTGATCATATTATTATGACTTTTTAATGTTTTATTAGTGTGTGTGTGTGTGTGGGGTGTGTGTGTGTGTGTGTGTGTGTGTGTGTGTGTGTGTGTGTACCATCAAATCAGATCTGACTGGTACAGGAGGAGATTGTCCCTCCTTCTCCAGCAGAGCATCTGGTGGATTTGAACCTCTTGCCTTCGGGATTGCAGCGCAGCTTCTTACCACCAGATCACCCTTGAAGACAAGTTTCTTTCTGCAGCACCCACACTGACCCAATGACCCTCTTGGAGCAAAATTGCTCTCCAATGCCCTGTCCACTGCCGCCTTCATAGACTTCAGCTTTCATGTTTTTTTTTTCTTAGATTGGCAGTTTTGGTGGCTTAATGGTAAGGAGTTGCCCTGCCAACCCAAAGGCTCAGGGTTTGCATGCACCAGCTGCTACTTGGGAGAAAAGTGGGCAGCCTCTTCCCTTGAGATTCACAGCCTTTGCAACCCTGCTGGAGGGCCTGCGGGTACACAGCAACCTTTCCACTTTTAGGCTTTTGTTTCCGTGGTTCCTGAGAACACACAAGTTCACGTTTGAGGTTCTCCAGGCCGAGCAAGGCTCCCCGTCCGCCTTTGCGGAGCTGTCCTTCCTCCCCGCTCATCTCAGGAGCTGCGGGCTTGCTGAGCTCTGACAGCACCAAGCTGACGACCAACGCTGTTTAATAATTAAACTAAACTGCTGCCTGGTTTCAAAATGACTTTCAAGGCTGGGTTTCGGTTTTGGATTTCGAGATTCTATTAAAACTGATTCACTGGGGGCGCAGCCCTTGGGTTTGGGGTTGGTTTTCCACCACCAGCGCCCGGCTTCTAGCCTCCCCGCACCCCCAATAATTTCAAATGAAGGCGTCTGGGGCCGCAGCTGCCCAGGCCCCGAGGACAGGCGTGGCCAAGGCCTTCTCCGACTGTGACCACGCTCTTCTGGGGCCCTGGGGTCCTGGCGTGGCCGCGGCCTCCACCCAGGAGCGGCCGAGGGGCCCCCAGCTCCCACTGGTAACAAGCCCCAAACCCCCCAAAACAATCAGGTTTCGGCTCCAAGACCAAACTAGAGTTCACACTCTGCAGCGTTTGTTTACTAAATGTGAATAAAGTCTTTAACGTCGAACGTTGTCAGCTCTCAAAGTGTTGGAAAAGGAAAAAAGACACAATGACCAAAGCTCATTGTGGGGGGAGGGGCGCCGGGCCCCTGGGAGCCGGGGACCCCCGTCTGTCGCCCCAGCTGCCCTACATCAAGGGGTCCCGCTGGGGGACGGGCAGTGCTCACGGGGTTAAAGGGAGGCCTGGAGCCTCCGTGAGGGTCCCCCCGCCCCAAAACAAGGCCCCAGAGGGGCCTCCCCACCCCCAAGGGCCGGCTGTGGGGGCGGGGCGAGGGCGCACCGCGCGTCCCCGGCGTCGAGCTCCCGCCCCGCCCCCGTACGCTCGCAGAATGACAGCGCGGCGGGGCGGGATTAAAAGAGACCAGGCCAATACACGGCGCGGTCCCGCCCCCAAAGCCCAGCCTTCCACCAGTCAGAGGCCGGAGCAGGCGGACGGGGCTCGCGGGTTTCCCGGCGGCCCGGCGGCCCCGCCCCCTCTGCGGGCGCGTTCCCGGTGGCGTGGGGGCGTGGCCTGAGCGCGGCCCCTATAAAGGCGAGGGGCCGCGCGGGCGCCATTTTGCGAACGGCGAGCAGCGGCGGCGGCGCGGAGAAGGCGCAGCGGAGGTTTTGCTGGTTTCGGACCCGAGCGGCCGGATGGTGAAATCCTCCCTGCAGCGGATCCTCAACAGCCACTGTTTCGCCAGAGAGAAAGAAGGGGATAACCCCAGGGCCACCGTCCTCGCCAG